CAAATAGGCAGGGATTGCACACGAAGAGCTCCAAACAGACAGAATCGGGTGGATCTGTGGGGGGGGGGGGATACCATATATATATATATATATACATAGTTATATGTATATGTATACACACATAAACAAATCTATCCGTCTCCATCTATCTAACATATATATATATATATACATACATACATACATCTACGCACCAATTCAGGTCCCTGTGTATGGCTGGTTTCCGTAAGCTTATCATCACCACCCTGACGATCTGCACGGTCATCATATGTATTCAGATAATGACGAGGCTGTACCCTCATGACAGAGCTACGAGTTGAGAGTCTGCATGCGACAAGCCCGCACTTACAGACCTGAACCCTGAATCCGACACCCAAAGCCCCAAAACCGAGGCCCCAGACCCGAAAACTTACATAAACACCCTTACAGACCCCTTGCAGAACTCTCCGGAAGACCAGCAATACATGACCCGGCAAAGCCCTAAACCAAAGCCTCGGATGTGATCAGGATTGGCTGGTAGGAGCGGGCGCATGTGGCGCCACTCCGAAACTTCCACCACAACTGCCCAGGCTTCCGCTTCGGGGTTTAGGGTTTAGGGTTTAGGGTTTAGGGTTTAGGGTTGGGTGAAGGGTTTAACGAATCTTACGGGTTCAGGCTTTGGGGCTCAGTGGGCTTAGGCTTTAAGGAACTCTGTGGTTCAGGCTTTAAGGAACTCTGTGGTTCAGGCTTTAAGGAACTCTGTGGTTCAGGCTTTAGGAAGCTTTGTGGGTTTAGGCGTCCGTGTTTCGGCTTTTGTTGGGGGTTAAGGTGTGAAGTTCAGTTCTCATCAAACCAGGCTTTATACAGTTTAGAGTTCAGGGCTTCGGAGAATCGCTAGAACTCAGACAGGTAGGCCACTACTTAGTTAGGGTGTTAAGGGCATTGGGTTTTGGGGTGTAGGATAGCTGCACATGTTGCATGTGAGTAGTCTTCGACAGGTTCGAGTACGCGAGGCCCGGAGATTTTGGGACTTGGACTTGGATGGTTTAGGGTTATAGGGTTTAGGGTTCTGGTACGGTTTTTGTTTCTCAGCAAGACAAGATCCAGAATGACTCGAAGCCCTTGAAGTCGGAACCTGGAACTCAAGCCATTGCATCCCCATGCTTTGAGCTGCGATTCCTAGACCCTTGGACACCAAACGATGCAGGCAGGGGCCGATCCAGGCCGCTGTCTTCGAACGTGCGCAACGTGAGGCTAGATTCCATGTGCGATGGGTTGCAGGGCTGCATGGGGCTGATCATTTTGAGTTGGCGACTTCTTCGTTCAACCTTTATAACTGGCATCTTTCAAGTTATTTCCAGTGTGAGACGGTCGTGCTGCAGCATCGACAGGCGGTGGTGTCGTCTTGAGTTGTCCTACGCTGGATACTTTCAGAGCTTGCTCAAGGCAGTAACTCCACAAGCCCAAAGACACCTCACACCTTGCTCCATGCCACCTCGATAGCAAGTCCAAGATACGTTTTAAACGTCACTTGGATCTGTATCTACTCGTACATGTTCAGCCGCCTATCAAGCACCCCAGGCACACCCACAGACGTTATACGCTCAAACGCAACATCCTGAGTCATTAGACAGGATCCTCCGAACCATCCGAACCTTCCACCCCCAACAGCCTGAACCTTAGCCCGCCGTTGTGAAACGCAGGCATTTGCCCTAGAAGCTTCTGGGAGCACTGCACTGCTTTCGCTGCTGCGCTCTCCAGCCTTGCGCAGCGCCTCTGCAGAGTTTCGATTGGAGGTCTTATACCCTAACCCCCCAGGTGCGTACTCGGTTTAGGGTTTATATATAGGGTACTATAGAGCCCCTAGGGCCCTATATAGTGGGTACCGGGAAGGTTAGGCTTAGGCCATCTACAGGTGTAGGTCTTCCTGTAGGAAGATCAGATCTCTAGCTTGGGAACCCTAGCTCGCTTCGGATGCACGGTTCAAAGCTTCTAACGCCAGGGTCCAACCGACACATCTCTCGACCACTCTCGACAGAAGCCCGAACCGAGACCAAAATCATCCCAAGACACGCCTGGACCCTAAACCTCAAGATTGAAAAACTCCTGACTGAGGGTACTTGGCCCTCTTCGATGACGGCAGCCACCTGCAGCAGCTGTCGCCCGAGGAGCTCCAGGTGGTGGTTCAAAAACGGGTTTCAGATGCTGTTGTCTACCCAGAGGCCTCATAGTAGTTCCTTTTTGGGCTTCATATTTAGAATCCGAAAAGGTAATCCCAAAAAGGAACTACTATGGGGCCTATGGGTAAAGCTTCTCGTCTGAGTATTGGAAGCGTGGCACCTCAGAGTCCCTTTTGGACATGGACCGGAGCAGAGTTGCTAGGCTTTTGCAGCAGAGGTAGGAGGACGAGGATGGGAGACATGTTGAACGTCGGATTCCGGGCCTCGAGCTAGAATTGCAGTGTGGAGAAGAGTGAACGAAGGTTCTCTCTCCGGCGAACTAATAAGATCTCAGCTTTTGAGACAAGCTGGATTTAGTCCAGCCTCTTTCTGCGTGATGGCTGCTCGATCAGGTACGGCTGAAGCAAGAGCTGCGCTCGGCGGAGCTAGCCACTTGCACCAATCGCGCAGACCCGGTAACAATTTCTTCTCAGCTCTACCTTCGCCGTCTCCGTAGCTGTGACACGGGCCAAGCTTGCAAGTGAATTATGCGAGTACCTGGCTCCTCATGTTCCGCTGTTCTGCACTGGCAGACACGGCAGATGCTAGGCCCTCCGCTCCCTACAGCGTGGCGGCAGGAAACTTCGTGCTTAAACCCACTGTGCCAGTTGCAAAAAAGGATCAACCCAGAGGCCCCATAGTAGTTCCTTTTTGGGGCTCATGGTTAAAATCCTATAAGGTAATCCCAAAAAAGGAACTACTATGGGGCCCCTAAACCCTAAACCCTAAACCCTAAACCACTATGGGGCCTATGGG